GGAGGGGCCCCTGGCTGCCTGGCCGACGGGGCCAGGCTTCCTGGGCCGGTGCCAGCCCTGCGCTGGGCGCTGGAACTTTGAGCTGAGAAGGTGTGGCGCTTCTGCAGCCTGGGGTTCCTGCTGGAGAGTGATTTGTGGGCTGGGGCCTCTGGGGAGGGAGGTGAGCGGGGAGGGGCCAGGCATGGCCGTCCTTCCCCCAGGGGTCGTGTGGACGGACGTAAAGCTGTGTCCTTAGAGCGCCCCGCGCCTGCCCAGGCTGCTGGCTGGAGGCCTGAGCAGGTGGGCACTGGGCCCGGACTCTGGGTTCAAAGGGCACACTTGGAAACTTGAGCTGTTACCTGGGTGACAGGTGGGGTGTGCTGGAGGTGGGGGTACAGACCATGTTATAGCCCCTAAGGCAGCCAGCTTGCTGCCGGCTGGGTGGGGAGGAGGCCTCACCCAGACCACACTGTAGCCCCACGCCGGCCGTCTCCCCTAAAGCGCAGTGTTAAAGAGCACAGTCTTTCAGCTCCACAAACACCTCCGGACTTTGCCTGAGCTCCAAATTTCTACAGACCTTTGCCCGGCTAGTTTGACTCTGACCTGAGAGCTGCCTGTCATCCTGGTATCCTGTGTCTCCCCGTGCTCCGCCTCCCCTTCTCCATCCCACGCTGGACTCCAGAGCGTCCCCTGTCCTTTACCCCCTCCAGCCGGGTCCATTTCAGAGCGGGGCTAAGGGCCGATGGGGAGGGGAGGCGGGTCAGTGCCGTCATCCTCTGCTCCTTGGAGCGCGGACTGGGATTCTAGGCCGCAGCCCCTCCACCACACCCCGCGTCCTTGACACCCCCCACACCAGTCTGGATTGTCTATTGTTACTCCTTTTACGTCTTGGAAAAAGTTAGCACAACAAAGGGCTCCTTTGTGGAGCGGGGCTAAGGGCCGATGGGGAGGGGAGGCAGGTCAGTGCCGTCATCCTCTGCTCCTTGGAGCGCGGACTGGGATTCTAGGCCGCAGCCCCTCCACCACACCCCGCGTCCTTGACACCCCCCACACCAGTCTGGATTGTCTATTGTTACTCCTTTTACGTCTTGGAAAAAGTTAGCACAACAAAGGGCTCCTTTGTCGCTCACCCCTCTGCCTCCTGGCCTCACCCAGGCCCCCCAACCCTGCCCCCCACCCCAGCAGCTGTTCTCAGGCCTCTTGCCCGTCTGATTTGCTTGTCTGGCCTCCAGGAGAGTGAGGTGGGGCAGACCAGGCTAGGGCAGTTTGGTGTTGGGTGAGGGCAGGGAGGTGAGGGCCGGGAAGCGTCTGTGGGCTGATGCGGGTATGGGCGTCCACGGTTTCTTTGCTGTGGGCTGGTCTCTGGGCAGGCACGGGACATGGGGCCACAGCAGTGCTGGTCAGCCAGGCTGACCAGGGAAGTGGTGCCCAGGCCCTACTAAGAGCCAGGAAAGCCCTGCCAAGGTTGTTGGCCTGGTTCCCTGTCATCAACCTCCTGGCCATCCGTGGTGTGTCTGCAGGTACGGGGGTGGGTGGGAGCATGCAGCCAGCCCCCCCCCCGTGTCCAGGCGCTGCTTCTCTCTCTGCCTGGACTGTGGGGCCAGGTGACTCATGGCTGTAAGGTGCGTGGGCCAGGAGCTCTGGGCCCTTCTGAATGCCAGAGCCTTGTTACAGCCTTGTGTGCTGGAGTTTGGGGTGAGGCGAGGTAGGCTTCTGGGGTGTGAGAGGAGGTAGGGATCTACCTCTTGGGGAAGCATCCTTGAGTTTGGACAAGTGGACTTGGCAAGGCCTCCGGCGGATGCTGGGTGGTCCCTTGGGAGTCTGGGGTTGCTTTGGTCACAGTTCTCCATCCAGCACAGTGTACCCCCGGCTGCCCGGGCTTTAGGCACAGACAGACCCCACCCAGACCAACCCTGTCCTGCCTGGGGTGATGGGCATGGGGCCAAGCACTGGGGAGGGTTTGGCTAGTGAGGGCTGCCCTGCTGGCTGGGTCAATCCTGGCTGCCCTATTGGAGCTGAATAGCAGGAGGGGAGGGGGGAGTAACCCGGACGTAGTATTGAGGCCAGACAGACAGAGCATTGATGGAAACAGACCCCCATTGTCATACTGCTCCCCCGAGACTGGGCACCCAGAGCAAGGGGCTTCCGGGGCCCCTAGGGACTCCTCTCCTTGTCTCCAGGGATCCCCCCTGCTTATCAGGAGTCCCCGCCTGCTTCGAGCTAACATTTGCAACTTTTCTTTGCTCACGGGGCCTTGAGTCCCTGGCCTGGGATTGTTTGGGTGGAGGAGGGGCTGTGGCTGCTGTGAGAGAGGAGGGGGGAGCGGAAGCCGAGGGGGTGGGGGAGTGGCCGCCTTTGAATATCCTGTTGACCCCAGTTTCCTCTGCCCCTCGCTTGTGTCCTCTTCCCTCCCTCCTCACGGGCCTTAACTCCTTCCTAACTGGGGAGATGGGTCCAGGCCGCCCAGATGCCAGGCTTTAGCACCAGGCGGCCTCCCACCCCCGCTGCCCAGGTGTAGCCATGTCCAGGTACAAATCAGATGGGTTATCATCTGACCTTGCTGGGTGTGAAGGTGGGGTCCTGGGCAGTGGATAGGAGTGATGGGGTGCTGATGGGTTCATTGACAGCCGCATTCCCCACGTCTGGCTGGGGAGTCCCAGCTCTCCTGAGACGGTGTTCCTGCCCCTGAGTTTGAATTCTGGCAGCTATGGTGAGGCTGGGAGGGGCTCCTGGGAGGGGTCTGGAGGCAGGGTGGGCGGGCACGGTATTAAGGGTGGCAACCTGGGTCTCTAACTGCCCCTCCCTCTTCTCTCTCTAGCCATTGAGACCCAGAGCAGCAGTTCCGAAGAGATAGTGCCCAGCCCTCCCTCGCCGCCCCCCCTCCCCCGCATCTACAAGCCTTGCTTTGTCTGCCAAGACAAATCCTCAGGCTACCACTATGGGGTCAGCGCCTGTGAGGGCTGCAAGGTGAGTTGAGTCATTGGGAAAGGCAATCCTGGTGAGATAAATGGACTGTCTCCACTGCCATGTCCCGGGAGTATGCTGTTGGGGGGTGTAGGGGGGTGTCCCTGAAGCTTCTGCACTTGTTCCTATGTGGCAGGTCGCAGCAGCCTTGAAGGAGGGGAGGAAGCCGATAATAGAACCCCCCCAGGGATGAGCAGGGGTTCCCCCAAACCAAATAGGTCCCCTCCTGCCCGAGCTCCTCTCCCTGTCTCCATCCTCCAGCTGGCAGGGCGTAGATCTGCTCTGCCACCGCTGCCCAGGTTGCCATGGTGAGCTGGCTGCCGACTGGCTCTTGGCTGGGGACCCAGGAGGCCTGCCCCCAGTGGCCCCGCCTGAACCTCCCCATGGCGGCCTGGCTCTCCTTCAGATGCTCAGGCTGTGGGCTCCCCCCGGGTCTGGCTGCATGTCCCTGCGCCCACGCTAGGCTCCAGGGTACAGATGTGGTTGCCACCTTCCCAGCGGCTGTGGGCATGGCCTCTCTTCACCTCCCAGGGCCTGAGCCTCTGTACCTGTTTCTGCCCCAGAGGTTGGGGCTCAGAGGCGGTACAGTTTTAGGGGCTCCAGACTGCCTCTCAGCCTGGAGTAGCTGTCCCCAGGTGTGGGGCCAAGATCAAGGGCAAAGCAGCTGGCCTCAGGGTGTGTGTGTCTGCCTGTCCTGCCTGTCCCTGGTCTGTCGTGTCTCTGGTTAGCCTGTGTGTGGAACCCCTGACCAGCCCGGTTCACCCGTGATCAGGCTGTACACCTCTCCCTGGTTGGCAAGGGAGAGTGTGTGCGTCTCATCCCTCCTGCCAGCCCGTGTGTGTCCCCGCATGCCGCCTCCTGCTTGCGTTCTCTTCCTGTGCTCTGAGCCCAGGGCTGAGGGTTCCAGAGCTCTGCCTCTCTCCTCTCCAGGCCCATCTTCCCCTTTTCCTGACTCACTGGCAGCCCTGAGGTCCTTTCCCCAAGGAGGAAGGAAGGAGGGTGTGTGGGTGTGGGTTAGGGGAAGACCTCTGCGCGCTCACAGTGTAGGGGCAGGCCCTGCCACTCTTTGGGGGCATCCTAGTAGGTGAGCCCTTCTCCCACCTTATCTGCCCCGCTCAGGTAGGCGATGACCAAAGGCTTGGGAGCAGCAGCGGCTGGTATGGCTCCCACTGTGGGTGTGGCTGATCTGACTCCCTCCCCTCCATACTCAGGGCTTCTTCCGCCGCAGCATCCAGAAGAACATGGTGTACACGTGTCACCGGGACAAGAACTGCATCATCAACAAGGTGACCCGCAACCGCTGCCAGTACTGCCGGCTACAGAAGTGCTTCGAAGTGGGCATGTCCAAAGAGTGTGAGTGCCAGGGGCCCGGGGCCAGGGGCCAGGCCACCCGCTAGACAGGCCTGTGGTGCTCCTAAAGGTAGGGGAGCGGGTGGCGGAGCGTGGGTGTGTGTGTAGGGATGTGAACTCGCACACCCGTGGTATGGTGTGTGGGCTCATGGCTAAGGGTGGTTTGTGTATAGCTGCAAGGACCTGTCTGTCTGTACAGCTAGCTGTGTCCATTGCAGACACCGTTCCTGTTCCTGTTGGCACACGGCTGGCTGTGTGTGCTCGTGTGTCTGCTGCAGGCCAGTTGGCTTCCAGGCCCTGCTGGGCTTCGGGGCAGGGCTCAGACGCATCCCCAAGTCCCTTCGGATTGTGCATCTTAGGGCAGGGCCTGTACTGAGGGTGTGTGTGTGTGTGTGTGTGTGTGTGTGTGTGTTGGGGGGCGTGCGGCTGGCACAGGGATCTAAAAGCCATTGTCCGGTGATAGAGCCTGGGCCCTAGGGTTTCAAGAGAGAATCAGACCGTCTCAGATCCCTGAGGGATGGGGGTTTCCAGTTTGGGCTCAGCTGAGGCTGGATGGAGGGAGGAGGGAGGGCTGGACAGGGAGACCCTCTTGTGTTGAATCATGAGTGTTGCCGTGGTGACCAGTGATTGATGATGTCAGAGATAAATGACGCTGACAGACGCCTCCTTGTCTGCGTGGCCGTTGCCATGGAGCCTGAGCCTTGGGGGATGGGGTGGGGGAGGGGGTTGCAGGACCCCCTAACCCTTTGTAGGTTGGGCAGTAGAAGAAGAAAGTGGGGAATGGGTGTGGGGGGACCAAGGGGGTCGTGCATCACACTGCCACCTCCTGCCACAGGAGGCAGGGGCTGCCTCGTGAGGAGCCCAGGACGTGGCGGCTCCATGCTGCATCAGGGGTGACACCTGGGGACCTTCAGGGCCCAGCACTGCCTCCTCCCTCTGCTCCTGCCACCTTCCACTCCCAGAGCTTTCCGGTGCAGAAGGACCAGGGTGGGGACCCCTCTCCCTCCCACCACATCTCCCCCTCTCCCCCCCTCCCTCTGGCTGCTCTGTGCCCCGGAGCTGAGCAGCTGCCATTTCAATAGAATTAAAGCTTCCGAATGATAAACGTCTTGTCACAGCTGCAATTTTCTCTTCCCAAATTATCCCCCCACTCTCCCTCTCCCTTCTTTCCCTTGCACTTTATTGAATTTGCAGAATCGACATGAGTGATCTCCAAATTATGCCAGCTCCCCCCCCAGCCCACTGCCCCCTCCTGGGGCCCCCACCCCCACCTCTCTTCCTCCAGCGTCAGCAGCCGCCACCACTGGCCCTGTGAGTGATTGTGTGTCTGGGATAATCGGCTGGTAACGACCCCATCGCTTCTTTAAAGCCGAGTGGTGTGTGCGGCTCAGCGCCCCCGGTGATTTGTCAGCTCCCCCAGCTAATGGGCCGAGAGATTCTCCCATCCAGCCCCCCACTCTCAGGCTGGGGAGCCCTACACCGCCCCTGCCCCAGGAGAGGAGCTGATTCCTCCTCAAGCCAGTCCCGGGGACCCCGGGAGACTGCTGGCTGGAGGACGGGCCAGTGGAGGCTGCTTGTTCTTGGGAGCAGAGGGAGTGGGGGGCAGGCGGGCAGAGCGCGAAGGTGGGGTGCTGCTCACTTGCCTTCAGACTGGGGACCCCGCGTTCCAGGAGTGTGGCTGGAGTAAGTGCGTGGGCGTATGGGCACAGCGGGCTGGTGCCGTGGTCCTGGGGCCCTCGGGCAGACATGGCTGTGGGCATGGAGGGGTGGAGCGTGAGTTGACACCTTGTCTGCCTGCGCACTTGTGTGTCTGTGAGTCTGTGTGTGTGCACATTGTATGTGCGTCTCTGCGTGCACATTGTATGTGCACACTGTATGTGCATCTGTGTGGACATTGTTGTATGCACTGCTGTGTGTGCATTGTATGTGCGTCTGTATGTGCACTCCCGTGTGTGCACATTATATGTGCGTCTGTGTGTGCACATTGTTGTGTGCACTGCTGTGTGTGCGCCCACCGGGTAATGACTCCTGCAGCCAGCAGCTCTGGTGGGAGGAGCTTGGGCTGGGGAGGGACCGGGACCTGCGGATGGACCACGGCCTGCACCTGCTCTCTAACCACGGCCTCACCCTCCACAGCCGTGAGGAACGACCGGAACAAGAAGAAGAAGGAGGCACCCAAGCCCGAATGCTCCGAGAGCTACACGCTGACGCCAGAGGTGGGGGAGCTCATTGAGAAAGTGCGCAAAGCGCACCAGGAGACCTTCCCTGCCCTCTGCCAGCTGGGCAAATACACTACGGTACGGCTTCCCCTGGCCCCTCACGGGTGCCCCTTCTGCCAGGCTGGCTCGCCCTCCCCCTGCCCAGGCCTCCCGTCCTCCCTCCCCCTCCGCCCCCTCCTCCTGCTCAGGAAGCGAAGGCGGGTTTGGGGCAGGCCTGTGGGCGCTGGTGGAGCCAGGCCAAGGAGGGGGGCCTTGAGGAGAAGGCCCTCACTCTCCCCCGTCCTCTCAGAACAACAGCTCAGAACAACGTGTCTCTCTGGACATCGACCTCTGGGACAAGTTCAGTGAACTCTCCACCAAGTGCATCATTAAGACTGTGGAGTTCGCCAAGCAACTGCCTGGCTTCACCACGCTCACCATTGCTGACCAGATCACCCTTCTCAAGGCTGCCTGCCTGGACATCCTGGTGAGGGTCTGGGCCCTGCCCCATGTCCTTGGAGGATGTCCTGCCACTCAGATAACCACCTTCCTAAACATCCGTCTGGAATGGACCCGTCCAAATGCCCTGCCCACCCAAACGGCAGCCCTTTCTCTCCCCGCCGTGTCCATTTGCCCACTTTGTCTACCTGGCCACTTAGCCACCCAGCACCTGGATGTACACTGGCTCACCCACTCACCCGCACACATTCATCCACCCTCACCCCATCTTTCTATTAAGCCTTCCCCCCACCCACCCATCGTCCCATCTGTTCAGTCGGTAATAAAGATTCACCTGGGACCTGTGTGGGCAGGCCTTGAGCTGGGTGTCAGGAGCAGAGATGAACACAACACTACCCCCTCCCTTGAAAACCTCCTGGTTTTGGAGGCAACAGATCTGCAAACAGAGGTTGCGAGCCGTGATAAGAACTGGCTAGAGATGGGGAAGGGATGTTCTCCCTCCATGCAGACAAGAGAACTCCAGCTGCTGGGCCCCAGGGAAGACGTTCAGAGGAGATGACTGACACCTAGGGTGTGGAGGGGGCATGGGAGAGGGCGGCCCTGACGGAGGACAGGATGTGCAAGGCCTGCTGCTGGGCGTCCAGCTGGAGCAGGACTGGTGGGGCCCAGAGGGTGGGCTGGGCTGGAGGCAGGATTGGGGGCGGTGGGGATGCCAAAGCCTCCACTGACAGAACTCTCCTCCCTGTCATTCATCCTGACCGGCTCAGCCCTCTTGCCCACCTCCAGGCTGGGGAACTTCCTGGTAGGAGCGGGCAGGTGCAGTGTGTGCCGCCTCCCTTCCCCACCCAGGCCCTGGATGCAAGAGGCAGGATCAGGGTTTGACACAGTTGAAGCCGATGCACATTTATTGAGCTCCTGCTGTGTACCCTGTCCTGGGAACCGTGGATATAAATTTGCTATGATTCTTGCCTGGAAATTCTAGTTTCTAAAGAATTCTAAATTTTCTGCATGGAGACAGGAGGCCGACCCAGAACCAGGCCAATACAGAAGCCACTTGCCATGCGTGGCTATTTAAATGAATTAAAATGAAATCCAATCAGTTCCTCGGGCACGAGCATGGTTTTCAGTGTTCGATGGCCACACTGTGGCTGGCGGCTCGTGTCTGGGTGGCGCAGACTTAGACCGTTTTCATTATTGTAGGAGATTCTATCGGGCTGCACTGGCCTGGCTGCCTGCCAGGTGGGCCTGTGGGGATGGCTGCTGGTGCTGGAGGTGCTGGGGGAGGGGCTGCGTCCCTAAACTCGTGCCTCCTCTGCACCCAGATCCTGAGGATCTGCACGAGGTACACGCCCGAGCAGGACACAATGACCTTCTCGGACGGGCTGACGCTGAACCGAACCCAGATGCACAATGCCGGCTTCGGCCCCCTCACAGACCTGGTCTTCGCCTTCGCCAACCAGCTGCTGCCCCTGGAGATGGATGATGCTGAGACTGGGCTGCTCAGCGCCATCTGCCTTATCTGTGGAGGTGGGCAGGGGCCGGGGGTCCCGGGGCTCGGCCCAGGGTGGTCGGGGAGCCCCTCACCAGCATGTCCAGGGATCATCAGCTCAGGAAGGGACCTTGGCCCCTGTCAGGTCCTGTTCAGAGGGGGAAATCGAGTCCCAGCACGGGTGTGGCAGCGGAGACCTGAATTCTGGTTCCCTCCCTGGTTAGACCGCCCAGGCTCATATCCTGGCCAGCTCTGAGCTTGAGCAGGTTGCCAAAGTCTCGGAGCCCCCATGCCTGCAAGATGAGGCCATAATGGGCTGAGGAAGGTGGTCGTTAAAACGAGGGCACACTGTGCCCAGAGGAAGACACGCACACGTTGGCTGCTATCACTGTTTTACTGTTACCAGCTCTGCCATATCGTGCTGGTGTCCGTGGCGGGTGGGAGCCGGAGACCTGCACGGGCATCTTCCTCTGCTGGGTCCCATCCCCACGAGCTGGGCTGTCAGGGCCGCTTTGGGCCACCACACCCTCCGCTCCTCTGCTTCCATTTAAGAGCCTGTATCAGAGCACACAGACCCCTCCACTGCCCTGGGTGGTGAGGCCCCAGGAGCGGAAGCCCAGCTTGTGGCCTGGGCAGGCGCGCCCCCCAGTGGCCACGGCTGGGAGCACAGCGGTGTTCCTAGCTTGGCCAGGGCCCTGGCTCAGGGGGCTCCTCTGCTTCCTCAGACCGGCAGGACCTGGAGCAACCGGACAGGGTGGACATGCTGCAGGAGCCGCTGCTGGAGGCGCTGAAGGTCTACGTGCGGAAGCGGAGGCCCAGCCGGCCCCACATGTTCCCCAAGATGCTCATGAAGATCACGGACCTTCGAAGCATCAGCGCTAAGGGTGAGGCTTCCACCCAAGCTGTCCCCCTCGGTCTAGGCCACGTCCCCCGGAGGCCCCACCAGGCCCCGGGGACCTCCTGCCCGTGAGCGCGAAGGCGGCAGTGTCACCTTTGCTGGGTGGTGACGGGCATGGCTCTGGAACCAGATGGCAGGGGTGCGTGCCCTTGAGCAGGTCACTGAGCAGCTCTGCACCTTCTGAGGAGCGAGGACTGTGACGGTGTTGACAGGGTGGTCGTGTGGAGGTGTCAGCAGGAGAAGCCACAGCACAGAGCACAGAGGAAGGGCCCGGTGTCAGACCAGGCGGTTGGAGTTAAGAACCACTTTCCCTGCTGCCCCTCGGACTTGGGGACTAAGAGAGCTGGGGCCCGAGTCAGGGCATGGCGGATGCTGAGACTGGAGGGGTTGGTCCTCCGGGAGCCATGCGTGCACCCCGGGTTTGCGGGGCTGGGCAGTGGGGGCGTGTGCTGACCTCTGCTCTCCTCTCCTGCAGGGGCTGAGCGGGTGATCACGCTGAAGATGGAGATCCCAGGCTCCATGCCGCCTCTCATCCAGGAAATGCTGGAGAACTCCGAGGGCCTGGACACTCTGAGCGGACAGCCGGGGGGTGGGGGACGGGAGGGGAGTGGCCTGGCTCCCCCACCCCGCAGCTGTAGCCCCAGCCTCAGCCCCAGCTCCAACAGAAGCAGCCCGGCCACCCACTCCCCGTGACCGCCCGCGCCCCACGGACACAGCCCTTGCCCCTCGCCTGGCTTTTCTCTGCCTTTCTACCAACCGCGTGACCCCAGCCAGCCCTGCCCCTCGCTGTCTCCCTTCCGGGGACAGGAGGCAGGAGGGAGGAGGTGGCGACTCTTTGGACAGAGGCCCGGGTGCTGTGGACTGTTACTCTGTGGCCTGGGTGGTCAGGGGCAAGGTCACGAACTGCGTGAGGACCCCTGGTCCTGGGTCTCAGGATGGGGCCTGGGGGCCTCGTGTTCATCAAGACACCCCTCCGCCCACCTCGCCACATCTTCATCACCAGCAAAGGCCAGGACCTGGCCCCCCATCCTCAGAACTTGCAAGCCATTGCCCCCCGGTTGGGGAACCCCCCCTTGCCTCGGTTGGTGACAGAGGGGGTGGGCCAGGGGTGGGGGGCTCCCCCTGTACATACCCTGCCATACCAACCCCCAGGTATTATCGCTGGTTTTGTTTTTATTTTAATTTTTTTGGTTTTGATTTTTTTTAATAAGAATTTTCATTTTAAGCACATTTATACTGAAGGAATCTGTGCTGTGTATTGGGGGGAGCTGGATCCAGAGCTGGAGGGGGTGGGTCCTGGGGGTGGGCAGCGGCTCAAAGGGGCTCCCACTCTCTCTCTCCATGTCCGTGTCCCCCTGGCCCTCTCCCCAGCCCTTTTCTCCTCAGTTTTCTCTTTCAAACTGTGAAGTACTAGCTTTCCGAGGCCTGCACTCCCCTCCTTTGTGTTGGGGAAGCAGCCAGCCCCCCCTCCCCATCTCCCTCGGCCTAACCACTGGGTGTGGACAGTTCAGGCGGCCCCTAGGAGGAGGGTGCCCACCACCAGAGATGGGTCAGGCCACGCAAGGGGGGGCCGCAGAACATACATGTACGTGTTCCTAACCCGTGTCCTGTGCTGAGCTGCCCCCCCATCCGGGCCTACATGATCTCAGCCCTCCTACCCCCCACTGTGAAGGGGCTGGCCGAGGGGTCTGAGCTGTCCCTGCCCCCCAGCCTCACAGCCACCAGCACCACCCACAGGGCCCCCAGACACACACACACACACACACACACA